CGTAAATCGTAGATCGTAGATCGTAGATCGTAGATCGTAAATCGTAAATCGTAGATCGTAAATCGTAGATCGTAAATCGTAGATCGTGAATCGTAAATCGTAAAAATCAAATCGTAAATCGTAAATCGTAACGTAAATCGTTTTTCGTAAATAGTTTATCGAAATCGTTTATCGTAAAATCGTTTATTGTAAATCGTTTATCGTAAATCGTAAATCGTAAATTGTTTATCGTAAATCGTTTATCGTAAATCGTTTATCGTTAAATCGTTTATCGTAAATCGTTTTATCGTAATCGTTTATCGTAAATCGAAAATCGTAAATCGTTTTCGTAAATCGTAATCGTAAATCGTAAATCGTAAATCGTAAATCGTAAATCGTAAATCGTAAATCGTAAATCGTAAATCGTAAATCGTAAATCGTAAACCGTAAATCGTAAATCATAGGTCGTAAATCGTATATCGTACATCGTAGATCGTACATCGTACTCGTACATCGTACATCGTACATCGTACATCGTACATCGTAAATCGTACATCGTAAATCGTAAATCGTAATCATAGATCGTAAATCGTAGATGTACATCGTAGATCGTACATCGTACATCGTACATCGTACATCGTACATCGACATCGTACATCGTACATCGTACATCGTAAATCGTAAATCGTGAATCGTAAATCGTAAATCGTACATCGTAATCGTACATCATTTATCGTAAATCGTTTATCGTAAATCGTTATCGTAAATCGTTTATCGTAAATCGTTTATCGTAAATCGTTTATCGTAATCGTTTATCGTAAATAGTTTATCGTAAATCGTTTATCGTAAATCGTTTATCGTAAATCGTTTATCGTAAATCGTTTATCGTAAATCGTTATCGTAAATCGTTTATCGTAAATCGTTTTATCGTAAATCGTTTATCGTAAATCGTAAATCTTAAAACGTAAATCGTAAATCGTAATCGTAAATCGTAAATCGTAAATCGTAAATCGTAAATCGTAAATCGTAAACCGTAAATCGTAAATCATAGATCGTAAATCGTAGATCGTACATCGTAGATCCGTACATCGTACAATCGTACATCGTACATCGTACATCGTACATCGTACATCGTACATCGTAAATCGTAAATCGTACATCGTAAATCGTAAATCGAAATCATAGATCGTAAATCGTAGATCGTACATCGTAGATCGTACATCGTACATCGTACATCGTACATCGTACATCGTAAAATCGTAAATCGTGAATCGTAAATCGTAAATCGTACATCGTAAATCGTACATCGTAAATCGTACATCGTAAATCGTACATCATTTATCGTAAATCGTTTATAGTAATCGTTATCGAAATCGTTTATCGTTTATCGTAAATAGTTAATCGTAAATCGTAAATCGTAAAACGTAAAACGTAAATGTAAATCGTAAATCGTAAATCGTAAATCGTAAATCATAGATCTAAATCGTAGAAGTGTCCTTATGGGGATTGAATCTCAGTAGTTCTAAATCGGCCACCAGAGGCGCTGGCGTCGCGCGCCATTGATGGGTTGGACGGAATCTGTATGCGAAATTCATGAGTTGGGATTCCGCCGCTAGATGGCGCTGTACAAAACCAAACGGAATCTATGTGTCATTGGACACGGGTTGGGCATCTCGCGCATAGATGGCGCCATTTGTTGTCTGGCGCTGTACAACCAACGGAATCTGTATGTGTCATTGGACATGTCCTTGATGGGTTGGGCATCTCGCGCATAGATGGCGCCGATGTCGCACCTGTCTGGTGTGGCGTGGATTACGGGGGGCATTTAGAACCTGTATACAGGGGTGCATCGAAAATAGCGGATCGATGGACCGACGGTATATCGTTAATCGTATATAGCAAGGCGTGACCTAAATAGCGTGGTGGGCTCCTCTGGTCGGTCGGTCGGTCAGAATGTCTCATAACCTGTATACGATGTACTGTTATTATTATACAGGATGATACCGTTCAAAATGAAAATAGTATAATTGATATTTTATTGAAACATATAGTATATATAACAATAAGGTGATTGGTGTGTGTGTGTGTGCGGGTGTGTGTGTGTGTGTGTATGAAATTTTCAGTTGCCTACAGTGTCGTCTGAATCATATCGCTGTGTTCTGGTCGTGCAGGTAGATTGAAGATTGTTTTAAGTGATTCTTGTAATTATCAGGGAGTACTTTAGATGTTGATACTAATCGACTCAAATCATTCTTCGACAACTGATTTGGTTCATGACAGACAAGAATCAAATTATGTATTTCACGGTTCAGTTCTGGTTGTTTTTTAATTTTTCCCTAAAGCCTCGTATTAGCCTCCTCGCTGGTTTTTTTGGTTTTACCATTTTTTACCTCTTTTGAACAAAACAATTGCTTGCGACTGGTTTGAATGATTGATACTGTAGCACTGCTAGTGCTGAATACGAATAAACATAGCTTTCTGAAAAATGTATTTTTTAATGATATACAGATACAAGTTTAGATAACAGAGTTTTTAGTTGATGTAACAAATCCTCGCTGGGGCATGGTACTCCAAATAGAGTCCAATGAAATGGTCCGGTCGCAACAACTTTTCTTGTAAATTCATTAAATTTATAGTAAGTTGCGTGACGGAAAAAGTAAATATGGCCATCATCCATCGAAATGCGAGAGAAATATCTTCAGGTAACCCAGGAAATATGTCTCTTATCCGTCCTCTGTTCAACACATCATAAAATCGTTAGAAAATTCTATATATGACATATTATTATAAAAGGTATAGGACCGTCCTGCGTTTGATTGAAAAATAGCATTGATTCGAGCCCTATCGGGTATATCAATTGAAAAATTATCAAGAAATTTAATGGTAGGGAATGATGCTGAGAAATATTTGTTTGGAGACACAATGGTAATCAAGTCACCGTTTGTTGATTGGAATATGTTGTAAAGTGTATTGACGTAATTCTGTAGGAACATAATCGACAAGAAGTTCAGGCTGAGATGGGATAATCATTTCGTTTAAGTCTAGTTTCCATATAAACATCATGTGCAATATATAATCGGTAATTTGAAAACTCTGGAGCAATAGCTAAAAACATAAAATCTGGAATAATATCACACAAATTTTGAGGATCGGCTGCTTACGAGTTGTAGATCTTATAGTTGTTGTTGTTTTTGGTATTGCTGATGCGGTGGTAGACTTTGGGATTGAATCATATTTGTTTTTTCTTCCATATAGATATTGTACTGCATTTATATCATCAACATCTAGACCACGAATCTCATGCTGATAGAAGGCAAACATAATAGCATTCGGAGAAGCACTATGTGCTATGCCGAGAGCATGTCCAATTTCATGAACCAACACCATAAGAAAACTAGTTTGATTTTTGGGTATATAGGATTATTTCCAAAATACCAGCGTTCATTTATATCTAAATGGATTTCTCTACAGGTGCCGCTAGAGTCAGGAAAGTATGCATGTCCTAAAACGCCGCCAGCATCATCTAATGTCAATGGACATTCATCATTACCCATACAGTTTGCTCTAAAATAATGAGTCTTGCTAACCATGGTTATAGTAATATCAGGAGGATATAGAGTGGGATTGGTAACCATTGTAAATGTTAAGTTTGAAACATTTTGCCACATCTGAAAGCCATTTCTGCCTTTTTGGGCCGCAGGTGTGTTTCGAGGGAAATACCATTTCAGGTCATGTTTCCGAAATGGAAAACTTGCTCTAAATTCGGCATCACTGTATTGACAACGCGGACGATTCATAAATTCAATTGTTGCATTATTCAACAATCCATCCACTGGTAAATTATACTTTTCTTGCAAGTTAGTTAGCAAAGTAGAGAGATCTGTTGTATTATCATGATATGTTCATATTGAGTTAGGTATACTATAGCGTCTTTTTCGGAGAAATCGTTGCAAAGCACGTATGTGAAAGTTGAAATAAAAAATAATACGTCTACCCACATCAACATCTTGATAGAGAATGATGTCAAAAATCTCAGATAGCAAATATAAATTCGTTTACCCCCCAATCAAAATCTTGACTGAAAAAAAATTAGGCAGCAAATATACAATAATCATACACGAATTTACTATATTTCTA